CAAGGCAATCCATTAGAGTTATGTTCTTAGTTTCTTCTCTGCTATGAAAAGTTATTTCCTTGCCATCTTACCATGAAATCTGTGATTTCCTGTATTGGGATCCTGGAAAGACATGCAAATCATATACTGGGCTCTCCTCTTCTGTGGGCTCTCCTCTTCTGTGGCCCTTTCTGATTTGTCTGCTATGAATATAAATATGTAGGAGAAATCACACAGAGCGACCAGAGCTTGACCCACACTTGCATTGATAGTCATCATAAAATGGGATCAGTACCAAGATAATGTCCATATTGCTGAGTCTTGCCTTTTCAGGACTCTGTGATTACTCCCTGGGCATTTCTGAGTATTATGTCCATCTCCAGTCTATCTGCTGCCCCCCATAAACCAGTGAACACTTTGTTCAGGCATTTCTAACTTCAGGCACCTACCATGTTTGTGCTTATGAATCATAAGATGCATGTCTGTCCTGTTTGCCTGCTGCCGTGCACATACCTCTGTGGAAGGCATAGCTGGATCTTCTGTGGCCACGTACAGCCACTGGGAACAGAGCTTCCATGCCCTCCAATTACATCTGCCTCAGTGCTCCAGATTCAGCCACACTGCTCTCAAGGCCCCAAGACCTTGGTCTTGTGAAGTGCAGACCATGTTATTTTTATTTATTTGTTTTGTTGTAAACCTTTCGCATGTGATATTTATAATAACAAAATTTTGCCAACTTTTATACATTTTCCTAATTTTCCTAAAAGTAACAAATATTTTGTTTGGGTCTCACACATAGATGAGAACATTACCACAGTGAGATAACTGGATAAGAAATATTTATTACTAGACAATATAAATAAGCACTGCTCGTTACTAGTCTTGTCCCTCGGATCTTTTCCCTTCATTGGGCAATTGGTTGGAGTGTTTAATAATCTAGCATCCTATCTCTTTCCTGGGATAATTGTAGAATATCTCTTGTTCCTCCTAGCACTTCCAAATTTGATTATTTTCTTAATCTCATCTCTGTCTTTTGACTAAAAAAAAAAAAGATACATAACAAGACATTGATACCCATTTGCACATAAGAAGGCAGTAAAACTACTTTTTTCACCTGTTGTTTTGAAAATGGCCTTTAGGGTTTAGTTTCTGAGGTTGGGTTTGCCACCTCACAAGTCACAAGTTCAATGAGATCCTCCACAGCTGATGTCTAATGCAATGCAGGAGGTGAGTTTATAGTCAGTTCAGGTGATGTCTGCACCAATCTTCAAGTCCAGAAAATCTGAACAAACGACAGTAGCAATGTTTCATTGTAGTGGAGGCCAAAGCACCTCCAGGGCTGAGGTGGCGATAAACTCAGCAGCTGTAACACACTGGACTGCAAAGCAGCTGCCCTGCCCCAGTCATATTTCCTCATCCACCAGAAACCCATGTGTCAGCTGCAGCCATGCTCCTGGAGCTTCTAGGTTGCTTTAGGGGCATTTCTGTGAGGTACCCAGCAGCATTTTATTACACATGTGTATACCTGTGTGTTTGTGTGTGTGCATGCACATGCTTTCATGGGTGTGTGCAGGTGCTCCTCACATAGTCCTCACCTGCTCTGGAGGCTAACCCTAGTTTGTCCAAAACATACTTCCAAGAAAATTTAGAATCAAACTTGGCTTATGTCTGGACTTTAACCACTAAGGTGAAAACAGAACAAAGATGAGCAGAATGCATAGGCAGTAATTATTGCTAGGCACAAACTGGGCATACATTTAGTTCTGAGATTCCTAGCAGTAAAGGAAATACCATTGGATTATGTAATGACTGTTACACCATAAAAAGAAACATGTCTAATAAACAAATGATTTTCCTGATTTTAAAAACAATCTCTAGGAGGAACTTATTTACAGCATCTGTTACAGATAGCATCTAACAAGAAACCATGTGTCCTAATGTGGAGTTGTCCTTCATGTAGATGTCCTGAACACTAGTCTCTGTAGAATGTGAGATGTAGGATGAACTGGCCAGACATATCCTGCATGGGACAGATGTGGGCCTGATTCTGGTTTTCTGCATTTAGCAGGGATGACTTTCATAAGAGAGTGTGATACCTGGCTGTTAGTATGCTAATTGGAAGGAGATCTTGCATTCTGCATGGATATTCAGAGGGCCAGTGTCCAGAACATCCTTGCTTTACTTCCACTCGGGACACTGAGACTTTCAAGAAGGGCAAGTGTATTCTTAAAAATATCTGTAGTCTGCTTATGGTTTTGGCTGCTCATATCCCAGAGCATGGGGGAACTGTTTTGAATCAGATATTTACAATGGAAAGGCTAGATTCTATAGGTGAGCTTGTCTGGCCCATAGGTCTGCTATTGTATCAGTTCTACACTGGTGACAATCAGTTGTCGAAGCTGACGTGTCCTTGTGTGAGCCAGGCTCATCTCTCCAGCAGATCAGTTTACATGAGATTCAGTAAGTGAGAAATACAGGCACAAAACTTTTTAAACAGTTTACAGGACAAACAAAATACACCGACAGTCCAGGACTGGGGTTGTGCTAGGCTGCTGCATCATGCTCAAGGCCCTGGGTTCAATCCATACTACTACTACTACTACTACTACTAATAATAATAATAATAATAATAATAATAGTAATTGGTTTTTATGACACTCTGTTATAAACCAAGGTCTCTCCAACCAATGTCTAACAAAAAAAGAGGGGGATTCAGATAGGCCCAAAAGAAGTGAGGTGTTTGTTTTTGTTATGGTTTTCCAGAACTGGTTACAATTTTTAAAAATGGAAGTGCTTTCCCATTGAGTTCTTTAAGCTGGTCTAGTAAGTGGCAGTAGACATTTGATTTCTTAAGTGTTTTTCTTCTGCCTAGAATAATTTTCATCCTAGCATACTTGGTGTTTGAATACACTAGTTTCCTTCACTAGCTGTTCAGCACAAGTACCCATTGCTCCTCTTAGCACACTTGTTGTCAGCACCGAGGATAGCTCCCACGTGTCTTTATCTAATGAGGGCACAGCCTGAAGTCTATTTCTAAGTAATCTAGGAGCAAAGTGAAACTGATTTGGGCATAAATGGTTCTAAATTTGTGGGTGAGGGGTTATTTAAAAAACAGTAAACAATTGAGTTATGTGGTTGTTGGATTTGTGTGGTCATTCCTAGGTAAGCAAGCGTAACAAAAAATGTCAATAGTATTTGCTGACTTTTTATTATGTACAGGTTACAACATGTATATTAACTCATTTAATTTTCACAAAGCTCTTTGATACACATGTAATCACTATGAACATCATCATCCCTATGTTATAGATATTGATGCTCTGAGGTTAAATAATGTGACCCTGGTTCTACAGCAAGTAAGTAGGGAGCCGAATGCACAGTCTGACTCAGCTCCCATGCCCTCTACTGCCTAAAGCCCGTGTTTCTATTACCAGAATAACATTCTTTCCTTGAGTACCTGACCATCAAACCAAATGACAGGAAAGAAGATAGCAAAGGACATTAAGAATGTGCTTGGCTCGCGTCTCTGTCCTACCTAGTCTTCTTCATTTGAGTTTTCAGATACTCATTATGGAAAAAGTCTGTAAAAAATTTACAGCATGTGTGGCTTGAATGGCATCACAAGTCTGTGCTCTCTGAGACTCATCCCCACTCCATTAAAGACCAAGACCAAGGGAAGACTCTCTGGTTATTAAGTAACATAGTGGAGGTGTGGTGTTTAAAGGTTGAATATGGGTTAGGTTACAATGTTATGCCAATTTCCTTAGCATGGAGTATTTTCAGTAATTACCAATATCATTGGAAGAGTGTATTGTTTTATTAGTAAAGGCCTCTTATCAGAGACCTACTCTAAAATACAGCTTCCTTTTCTTTATTCATTGTTAAATCAATGATAGCTATTGGCAAAGGTTCAAGACTGTTCCTGTTAACATGTTTTTAATGGTGTTTGATTTGTATGTGCCCATACCTCCAGTGCAAACATGTATATATGCTTACTAATTGCAGCTGCATGTAGTTAAGTGCAATGTTATTAGTGTAAAATCAAGGATAAAACATGAAAAATGTATAATTATTAAGGAGTTGAAATTAGTCTTTAAATTCTTTCAGAGCAAGGAATTATAGGTTTGATTGGTTTTTCACTTCAGATAAGTAAGTTCCTGGGTAATTTGGGTGCATTTTGATTTTTTTTTTTTGCCTTTTATATTAGTTGGGGTTGGCTAGAGAAACAGAACTAATAGAATAAATCTCTATCCCTACAAAAAGGGGATTTATTAGAGTGGTTTATAAGCTGTGATACAACAAATCCAGTAATAATTGTCTACCAATAAGAAGTCCAAGAATCCAGTAGCTGTGCAGTCCCTGAGATTGAATATCTCAGCTGGTCTTCAGTATTCACCAGAATCCTGAAGAAGTAGGCTGTAACTGCTCACAGAATGGACTTGTGAGTGTCAGCAAGTAGCTAACGAGAGCAAGCTTTCTCTTTTCATGTCCTCTAGGTCGGCTGCTATCAGAAGATGTGGCTCAGATTAAAAGTAAATCTTCCCACCTCAAACATCTGGATTAAAGGTGGATCTTCCCACTTCAAAAATTTCAATTAAGAAAAAATTCCCTCCCAGGTGTGCCCAGCCATTTGGATTTTAGTTAATCCCCAATGTAGTCAAGTTGACAAACAAGAATAACCATCACAGCTTTTTTAATTAATTGCAAAATTCTTCCCTGTAATGTAAAGACTTGAAACTCTGATTTGCCCACTAATATGAACTTTCTCTTTGGACTCATAATACCTTTCAAACTGGGTGATGACAGACCCACTCCTCAGAACAAGACTGAGGCCCTTACATATGTGAAGGATTTTTTACTTTCCTTCTTTTTTATAACCTGATTTTATAAATAAAGAATGTTTCAGTTTGCAATATCCAGTATCTATGATATCACCTGTTCAACATTGAGTGTGTTCACAGAAGTACTGGTAAGAGTTCCATGAAATGCATGTCACTAATGACCTACAAATTTCATTTCAGACAATCCATGGGCACAAGGGACCAATCACAGCAGTATCCTTTGCTCCTGATGGGCGTTATCTTGCCACCTACTCCAACACTGACAGCCACATTTCGTTCTGGCAGGTAAGCAGGTCTTAAATACATACTACACAGTGTGCCTTGGTGGGAAGCACTTCCTGTTAGACCTGTCTGCCGGCCTTCCTCCATGCCCTTCCTCCCTCCCTTACACTAATGTCAAGTGTTCAGATTGCTGACTGTGTGCTCAGTGGCAGCATGCAGGATGCTGAGAATCTTGTTAGCAATCTGGCAGAGAAGGAGCGCCTGCTCTTCCAGGGCTCCCCTCTAAAGGAGACACAGGTAAACACGCAAGCAATTATAGTACAGAGAATCTGAAGATGGTGGGGAACCGTTCAGAGCAAGGCACACCTGGTGGAACCAGGCGAGGTGGAGCAAGAACACAGGTGAGGCTTGGCTGGATAGGAATCCAGGGGAAGCTGCACTCAAGATACTGATTTACAATATGCATTCTAACAAGGTCTTTGGGTCTACTTGAGTGAAGCATAGGGCACTGGGTATTTTCCTAATATGTTATTGATTTCCCCTTGTCTTCCTTTTTTTATGTCATGTTTTTGTTTTGGTGGAAGGTTGTTTGCTTAGTTTTGTTTTTTGTTTTGCTCCCTCCCTCCCTCCCTCCCTCCCTCCCTCCCTCCCTCCCTCCCTCCCTCCCTCCCTCCCTTCCTTCCTTCCTTCCTTCCTTCCTTCCTTCCTTCCTTCCTTTGACATCTTCTTCCTAATAACCCAGGCTTGCCTCAAACTCAATATTCTCCTACTTCTACCTCTCAAGTGCTAGGAGTATATGCATATATTACGAGGCCTGGTATTCACATAATGTTCTGAATTTCTAAACTATGCAGGACATTTTAAAAAACTAGAATATCTTTGTCTGGCATTTCATGGGAATGTATATATTTAATTTTATTAAACTAAATGCTAATTTTGAGCAGCTAATTTTTATAGGGGACAACTAATTAGCACCATTCCCTCTTTTTTTTTTAACTCTTTAGTCCTGACAATTAGAAAAATATTACCACGAAACCCACACTCAGTAGTTATTCCAAAATTTTTATTATGGTAACTTTATTTTTGGAAGATGTAAATGTACTACATAAGATCAGCATATTGCTTTAAAAGCTGAAAAATTAATTAAAGTTTTGAGAAGGCTTAAACACAACTTGATGGTTTAAAAATGAAATCAATAGCTGATAAGATATAAAACGAATACAATAAATTGTTTAGTTGACAACATCCTACTGAAATCTGCCAGAACCTTTTTCTACTTTTTAATCTAATTTAGCCTTCCAGGTTTTCTCATTGTCCTTTTTTTCCAGAATGTGTCTCCAGCACCTTAATTAACTCACATCAAACTCCATCAATCCGGGAATCTCACCCAGTCTTCATTTCTGATTCTGGGGACTGGTATTTTCTGCTGTGATCCTCCACGAGTCCATTAGGGATCCACAGATGGGCTTAGACACGGGGCCTTCCGAGAGCTTGCCTGATCATGGTTTTTCCCCTCTCGCGTCTGGCCTAGTGGACCTTTTACCATTATGCCACTTGTACTTTCCTTTAGTTCCTGTTTTTCTGGAGTCTTAGATGGACACACATTGCTACCCAGGCTAGGTTCTGGCCCACACTGGAGATAGAGACATTAGCAAATCCCAGGGCCTAGTTCTAAAGGGGACTACTTTTCCCATATTTGCCTTTTTATAAGGAACAAATCAAGCTTCTGTTGTGTTTATTTGGTTGGTTTTTGTTTTGGTTTAGTTGAACTTTTGTTCAACTAAAAACATATAAGTGTTATATAAAAGATAAACCCAATTTGATAGCTTTTCAGTATTTTCTTGAATTTGTTGAGTGGTAGGTTTTTTCTTACCCTTGTCTATATCATTAAGGTTCTATTTGAATATATTTGTTCATCACTTTATTGAAACACTTTCTTTTCCTATACAGATCTCTACCCAGCACATGGGTAGAATTATGAATAGTGGGCATCCTTTCTTATTTTGAAAGTCAAGACCATATCCTAGATGTTATGTTTCTGATTCTTTATCCAGTCCCTCTATACTAGCTTGCTCACATTTCTCTGCTTTTCAAGTGCATCTGAGCCTATGAACGTGGCCCCACAATCTCCCCTGCTCCAAGGGCTGCCTGCTGCCATCTGCGTGTGCCAGAGCACTAGACAGTTGAGCCACTTCCCAGTTCTTGCTTCCTCTAAAACAACATCAGAGTTGATGGTGCAGCCAACTCCTGTGTTGCCTGAGTTCTGCCACACCTGCCTCCAAATTTAACTGGAGGCATGGAGAGAGATCATTCTGGCTGTCCAAGAAAATGCAACGACAGCTCTCTCTGAATGGTAGCAGCTTTTGTTGGAATTAAAGAGAGTCTGAGTGCAATGGGTAAATCTACTGCTGCTCCTCTGACATAGATTCATGCTGCTCCGTTCTAATGGTGTCTGAGAAGACTTTTGATCATTCCAGGAAGTGTACTATAATATATTTTGAAAACTTAATGAAGTCTTATTAATACAGAGCCTTACTAAAACTATCACTATAAAAATCTTTGCTGAGAAATGAGTGTTAATGAGAAATATTGGTTGGGTAATTACTCAAGTAAGATTCAGTAAAAGGTTTGTATGCAGCATTACTTTCTTTGGGGAAGGCATTAAAACATTTTCTGTCTGATGAATTATATCTATGTGTGTCTCTCTGTTCAGAAAATAATCTTCACACAGCTAGTGTTGTGATGCATATTTCGGAGGAAAAGGAGAAGCCATTGTTGGATTTTAGTCATTAAATATACTTAGCTGTTAAGTAGTGTAGTCTGGCAAAAACAAACCATATTCCTACAACTTGAATATTTCATTCCAGGATATCTTTTTGGTATTCCAGGGAGGAGAATTTGGTAATTAAAAACCATCCTTAATTCTCTCATGCAAATATTACCAATACCACCTAACAAATAAGTCGTATTTTTCAAAAATGTTAATGTATTACATAGGTGCTGGTTTCTTTGTATTTACTCCATCATACAAATCTCAGCCATTCAGAAACAGTGATGTAAATCTATAGTCATTATTATTTCCTTAGCATGTTGTTGAATTGAAATAGAATGTTGTAAAAGTACTTTTTAATGTGAGCCTGTGCATGTGTGCATGTGTGTATGTGTTGTGTGTGTGTGTGTGTGTGTGTGTTATGTGTGCATACAGTGCCATGTGAATGCATGGCGTTTAAATGTGCATGTGTGTGTAGTATGTGCATACAGTGTGCACATGAGTACAGGGTGCTTGTTTGAGAATGCATATGATGTGTGTGTATCAATGTGTATACAGTTTTCATATGAGTGCCTAGTGTTTTGAGTGTGCATGTGGTTGTATGTGCATGTGTGTGGCTTGTGTGGATACATTGTGCATGTTTATGCTGGGTATATGAGTGAGTTGGGAGGTTCAAAGGTTGTCTATCAAAGTGCTGACAGTGATTGTCAAAAGGAAGTAGGGCTTGGAGAATTTTTCCTTTTTATAATTTTATATAAATTTTCATAATATTTATGATAGTCTAGTAAGATAAACTACCTAACATTCCTAAAATTTGTAATTCCATGTAGCTTTCATTCAAAGTTTAAGTCTTTGAGTTTAGCATAGTTTATAGCCAGACATCAATGAATAAGAAAATATATATATAATTTTGACTAGCAGAATGGATCATTGTTTCAGTGAGAATTAACCTTCACCCTAGAAACACAGACCAGTCCTCGTTTGAAGGGTTGTAGGAAAGGATGGTCAGTAGAGAGATGAAATCTAACGAGTGTGTGGGCCTTCATCACCACAACCCCAACAGTGTGCCTTTGAGAACTTGGCATACCCTGCTTAAGTCGGAAGGCTGTTCAACGGAAGCACTGAGCAGAGCAGGGATGACTCAGCTATGGGAACCCAGATGTCATGATGGCTTTTCATAAAATTTGCCCATCGATGGCATTCTTCAAGATACTCTTGTCCTTTAGCTCTCAGCCCATTTCTTGTAATGGCTACATTGAGGCACAGCCAACTTCCATTATTTCCTTCACCAGCAGGGATAAAGCTTCATACATATTTTCAAAGCAAATCCATAGGAATGAAAAATACTTTGTAGCTCTTTATCAACTGAGAAATCATATTTTTAAAGCACTGTACACCTGTTAAATGCCAGTTGATTTTAACCAATAATTTCCTGGGTCAATTGGATCTTTTTTATGAGGACTAATTCTATACTGTTGGGTTTTGTAGATGTGATACTAGCGAATCAAGTTCGCCATTGTTACTGACATGTTAAGGAGTAGGGAGCCTCCATGAAGCAGTAAGGCTTGGGTTTTTATCTAGTGTGGAGTTTTTTTTTAGGAAAAAGAAGAAAGGAATCCAGGAAAGAAACCTTGGAAGGATGACAGGTGAGGTACCACTTGTCTTGAACTGTACTTGAGCAGAAAGAGTTAATAATGACCATACATTTGGTTTAAAATGTGACCTCGTACACTAGTGATTTTTTTTCACCTCTTGTGTTGTGTTCGGCACTATTATTAATGCAGGAAAATCAGTAACATTAGTCATCTTAAAAGGGTTATTACTCAAGATGATTTAAATTGTGAAAATGTCAGTGGAACCTGCACGCACCCTGCTAGAGATGCCATGATTTACGCCCTCTGACACCATCCTGCTGCCGAGAAGAGCTGGAAAAGGAATGGCTTATATTCTGCCCTGATCCAAATTCAGAGCATAGTATCACAGCCACACATCTTAAAGGTCCTCAGGTCTGCTAGGACTTAAACTGCTGGTGCAGCTGGGTCATGATAGGCATGTTTTGCCCACATAGCTAGCATGTGGTCCATGTAGATGATGATGCCGCATTCACCAGAGGAATAGGAAGTGAATACTGGTGCAGAGGAAAAAGATTATTTCCAAGCCTTCTTGGCAATTTTCAGAATGCACCCTCTGTGATTTATGGCAACACAAAAAATGCATATTGAAGTCACCAAAGTAATATTTAGCACTTCAAGAAACCTTCAAACTCAGTGACTCCAAAACCAGCCCACTTAGACAACAACCATTTGATATTCAACACCTTAATCCAATTACATAGTTGTTCATGATCTATAAATTTTATATTGCTTTCACTTTTGTGAATGGACTAAGAAAAATCACATTTTTAATCAAACCTAGAAAAATTCTCCTAAAAGCAAAAATGGCCAAGTGGTAAAAAGATGTTGTCAGTAAAGCATGAAAAACGTATTGTCTTTAGTAGGGTAGAAAGGTGGTGGGGTGAAAGTACTTCTCATCTCTCTCTTGAAAATGAGGAGCTGAGGGCTGAGGAGATGCTCAGCTCAGTGAGTAAAGCTGAGGAGTTGGGTTTGGATCCCCAGCACTCACATATATGCTGGACAGGTGTGGTAACCACCCTGAAATCCCAGTACTTAGTAGGCAGAGAAATTAAGTTAGTCTGACTAACCCTGGGCAAGTGGGTAAGCCAGACAAGCTGAATTTGTGAGGCACAGGTTCAGGGAGAGATGTTACCCTAATATATAATATGGAGACTGATTGTGGTTGACACCTGACATGAACTTCTAACCACATGCATGCACACATGAAATGCATACACACACACACACACACACACACACACACACACACACACAATACATACACACAGAGAATGTTTTCCTAGAATGTTTGAAAAAGCAGATGGGAGTAATAGTGGTTGGTGGGGGTTGGGGTGTGGCCCAGTTAGCTCTTTATCTGCAGAGTGGTTGTACTTCCTCAACTAATTGTAAACCAATATTTTCTAACTGAACTGGTTTATTAGCAATCTTAATTTAGCTTCTTTCCTCAAAATCAATGGACTCTCCACTGTCAGACTCTACTCACAAAATAAAATTTCTAAAGGTTTGTGTGTTTACATAAATGACATCATAGCAATTTGAAATCTAATGAGAGGAACTGTTTAGAGTTAGACTAACTCAAAGCTGAGTGTGAATTATTCAGTAGGAGAGAGTGGGGAGAAGAAATAAGCTACTCTCTTTGGAGAAAGAGAGAAGGATGCTTAAAGTGATATTTGTGTTCCCTCTCCTTACAGATGAACACATCACTCCTAGGAAGCATTGGCATGCTAAACTCAGCACCTCAGCTGCGCTGCATTAAGACCTACCAGGTACCTCCAGTACAGCCAGCATCCCCTGGCTCCCACAACGCCCTTAAGCTGGCCCGCCTCATCTGGACTTCCAACCGGAATGTTATCCTTATGGCCCATGACGGGAAGGAACACCGCTTCATGGTCTAACTCTGCTGTCTGCTGCCCTGGCTGCCTGTTAATTCTATATTGTCTAGGCCAATGCTGCGCTGTCCTTACTGATACTCTGATACTGGAGTGTTGCTTGCTACCCGCCCTCATTAATGCCATCCAGGGGCATGACCAGGTCTATGTCACTTGTGCATGCTTCTTGGGGGCAGACTCCACATGGCAGCCTATCGATTTAAAGGCACACATACCACTCAACAGGATGTGGCCATTCTGTCACTAGGTAGTTTTTCCCTGCCATAAATAGGAAGGGAGAGCCAGTGGTTCCTGGAGATGTTCTTGTTGCTTGATGTAACAAAAGCCTGAAAATCAATAACCACTGTGATTGCATCCCAGCCCTGATCCTCATTGTCAGCCCTGGAAGCTCAGCTCTGACCTGGATTCTGGGGCAATGCAGAGTCCTCATTATTGAAATGACTTCCTTTTGGATTTCTCAAACTTGCTGTTGTTTACCAAACCTATTTCATGTTTACATTGGGTTTTTCCTGCTCTCATTGATAGGCAGTTACTCAATTCCATTTCCTAGAATTTAGCCACTGCCTTCTCAGTAACACCAATCCTAATTTGAGATTATTGAGAAAATATTTTTTAAAAGTGTGTTTTTTCCATTTAGAAAATAGTTTTCCAGATAGCTAGCTTTCTAAAATGCCCATTTCTTGCTTAAATGTTACTATATTTCATAGTTAAAAATGCAGATCACCCCTACTCACCATGTGGTGACTATAGCTCACCTTCTAAGGAAACTTTCAACAAAGAACCAAGTTTGGAAGCATCACGTATTTGTACAGTGGAGGCTCTCCTGCGTGTTGCTATAGATTCTTCTGTTCCGGAAAGGCCTCCTCCTCAGGACCTTCACAACCTGCAGTTCTTGTGTATGTGGCGGTGTCACTCACAGCGGTCATTTCAGCCTAGCCTTCCAAATACTGACCAGTGAAAGAACACTAGGAAGGCATTTCCTTTAAGTAAACACCCTAGAATCTAATAGCTATGTAGGCACATTGTTCAGAGTGTACAGAAAAGTGTGACAGCTGCCAGTATGTCCGGTGGATGCTAAGTGAACGTGTTCACTGTGCTTCAACAACTTTAACTCCACTGTCTTCTTGTGTCAACTTATGCTAGTCTTATTGTAATGGGAGAGAAAAATCCCTAACAGTATTTTATATGAGTTGTTCCTAAAAATTTGATATATATTAGCAGCAGGGCGGGGGTTGATTTGTATGTTGGTTGATTAATGAGTTACACAATGTGGTTTATTAAATACAAAAGTAGAAAGAGCATTATTGAGTTCAGAGCAAATATGTAATATTAACAGAGGAACTAAAATGATAATGACAGAATTTAGTCTTAAGCACATAGATTGTCAAAGTTTGTGTAATATGTAGGAAAGTAGGATCAAGGTCCATGAATAAATACATAGTTTACAGTCATCTAAAGAACCTATGAAAAAGCTAACATCCCCAGGATGTCTTTTGCCTACTGACATATGCTGTTTTCATTGGCCACAACTCTATACTGTCTCTTGGTTTTCAGTGTTGGGGCTCTTTCAAAAGTGAGTTTATTTCACATGCATGTATATTGTATTATATATGTAGCTTCCAAGAAAGAAATCAAAAGCTGTACAGTGTAGATCTTCGGTGAACAAACTGATGTATTTTGATGTAGATGGAGAAATGGGCAGCATGCCCCAAAACTGCTCTCTCCCAGTACGAGTTTGCTTTGTGGACTTCAGAGGAAGGGGTTAAACCATTTGGAATGATAGGACAAACTCACACCTTAGACACTTTTTAATGGAAGTGTTCCATACATTAGGAAAGTGATACAGGACTGGAGAGCAACATATGGTGCCTGTCATAGAGATGGGTACAAAGCAGTGAGGTTACAGGAACAAATCTCTGGTCTTAGGTCTGGGCAGTCCTTCCATACCCTGTGTATATAGTCAGAAGAGCATAAGGACTACAAAACTCTGTGCATATAAAGCTTCATGCTAGAAGAATCGCTAACTGATAAAGTATCATTTATATTCTCATTAACATAATGCTATCCTTGGCTGTTTTCACAACCACAGTCCGCAGCTTCATCTCAGCTTATATTCCTCAACACTGAGGTAAACTTTGTATTGTCATTCCAGTGTACGCGCGTAGTGTTTTACTGATTTTGTTGACACAGCATTTGGACCTGTCCTTATAAGTATAAAGACTTATGTGGCTTCACTGGTGATTTACAAGTAAAAAGTAACATGATGTGACACCTGTATGGAAATATTTCATGTTTGAATTGCATACAGTGAGTGATTAAGATGTCTGTCTCCTAAGATGTTTCTAAATGACTCCATTTAGTAGACTCCATATGTGTTTAAAATTGATGTGTATATACTTGTGTTAAATAAAACTGAATTGTACTGAAGATTGCTTTTATACTAGTTTTACTGTTTACTGTGGTCTCTCTTGAACATTATCTGTTGAAACCATATGATCCTCTTGCCCTCCTGCGTCTAGCTCTTCATTTCACTGGAGAACAAGTTGCAGGAAAAGCAACTCTGTTCTCAAAGGACAGTAGAGCAGTGGCACAGGCCCTTACCCAGTCAGAAGCTTGAGACCAGATGGAGAAACTCAACAGCACCCTCTGTGGCTTGGGCAGAGCAATTGCATGCACGTAGTTTTATCTCCAGTCTCACTTTCGCCTAAGCAGATAGACTTTGTACCAAATTGAACCTTGTCAGACCTCATGACCAGGGTGAGCTGCCTGGGAACCAGAATGAGATCTTTAAATTCATTTCATGTAACATTCAGTTTGAAGTTGAATTTGAATGGCTGAGGTAAGAATAGCAGAAACTCCAGTAACTCACAGAGCGTTACAAGTAAATAACGACTGTACTTTTCTCCTCGGGCTCTCCACAGAGCAGCTGGACTCTAGTCAGTCATGTATAACAGCACAATAGCCCCCAAGAATTAGACAACAATAGCTTAAACATGTCCTTGTAGGAAAATAAGAGTAGTAACAGTTCTGTGTGGTAGGGAATCACATAAACTGATCAAATGTGGAAAGGGCATGACATTAATAGGAAGGTAAAGACAAGCGATGCTGGGTGAACTTTCACCTTTCACCCCTTTGCCTGACTGACAGAACTGAGTGTTGGAGAAAATCAATACTTCAGAGCCAGGAGGGAAATATTTCCACTCTCTAACTAGAGAATATATTTTGACAAGGCCAAGATAATACAAGCTGCACAGGAGAAAGAAAAGACTCGTTTTTTAAAGCTTGACACTTCAAGGTGTTTTTGTACATGGGTTTAGAGATCGTCAATACATACAAATACCAAAGGTCAAACAGAGAAGCCAGAAGAATTTCAAAAATTAGATGTTCCAGTTCTTTTTGCTGTTTACAGGCTAAAAAGAGACTACCTATTGAGGAGCCTGTGTTTGCCATTGTTATTTAAATGATCTGAGCCCACCATTGGGTATTTGAGGATATCATCTTCTTAAAGTCTGTAGAGTCAAAGATATGAATGTAACATGATAACAGGTATTCACATCCCTTATTTCTATAATGCTTTGCAGTTCATGTTGGGTCTGACAATGACGTAGACTTGTCTTCTCATTTGGTTCAATCACTTGGATAGGAAAAGAGTTCATGCATCTTTATAGCTAAAATGGTTTCTAGTTTCCCAAATCCTGATAAACATATAACTCACTTGGTGACCCTAAATAAGAGGCTTTGCACCTCTGTGGGAAAAACAAACAAAACAAAAGAAAAAAAAAACCTCAGGCTATTCTTACCAGCAAGATCTGGGTCCATACTATGTTAACATACATGCATGCACAAATTGGATTATTTCCCTATAGGTAAGAAGGCAAGGAAGCCATATGCTGCCAGATCTTTCAGAAAAGCTCGGAAGAACAAAGGAATCTTTTTTATTTCTTCATTTTTTTATTTAAGTTAGAATCAAGCTTGTTTCACATGTCAATCCCAGCTCCCTCTGCCTCCCCTCCTCCCACGCCCTCTCCACCAGGCCCCCAGTCTCCCACCCATTCTCCACTCCCATCCCCACGGAGTGTGGGGCTCTCCATGGAGGATCTCCAGAGTCTGTCATTTCATCCAGGGCAGGACCTAGGCCCTTCCCCAAGAGTCTAGGCTGAGAGAGCATCTCTCATTGTGGGATTGGCAGCCAAAGTCCATTTGTATGCCAGGGATAAATACTGATCTACTACCCAAGGCCCCAGAGATTGCCGAGGCCTCCTCACTGACACCCACATTCAGGGGGTCTGGATCAGTCCCATGCTGGCCTCCCAGCCATCAGTCTGGGTCCAAGAGCTCCCCCTTGTTCAGGTCAGCTGTTTCTGGGGGTTAAACCAGCCCAGTCTTAACCCCTTTGCTCATCAGTTCTCCCTTTCTGCCACTGAATTCCAGGAGTTCAGTTCAGTGTTTAGCTGTGGGTGTCTGCCTCTGCTTCTATCAGTCACTTGATGAAGGTTCTGTTTTCCAGACTCTCAGTGGGATTGTATGCTAGTCCTCCCCAGATCTATGTCTAAAATCCATATATGAGTGAGTACATACCATGTTTGTCTTTTTGTGACTGGGTTACCTCACTCAGGATGGTTTCTTCTAGTGCCATCCATCTGCCTGCAAATATAGGTTAGTGTTCATAGCTGATTCTCATTGGGCTTGCCAAAAATATTACTGAAATACAGCCTCACTTTGCCTACCTTTCATTAGTAAATGCCATTCGTTTCTGAGGAGATAGGTCTGGCTGCAGATGTTCAGTTTGGTTATTTCAAGGTAAGAATGCAGATAGCCAAGACTACTGGATAATCTGAGAATCCACAGAAAAAGCCTGCAACACCATGTCTGGTTTGCAATCTAAGGTAACAAGTAAATGGATGCCACTCTGTTAAATCTATGAGTTTACACTATTAAAAGGCAATATCCACTAAGTGTTCTATAAATGTAAGTGAACACTTTTAGTAGACATCTAGAATTTATTGGGCATGAATAAAATGATTGGCCCTGCCTTTTGGAAAGTGCTGGATTATGTTGTCATATTTTGTTTCTATCTTCACTCTGAACATCTCCCTTCTAATATCTTCGCTCCAAGATTTTATTTGTGTTCACCAGCCTCTTTGCCGGGTGCTATGGGTGACCTTCATTAGATGTGAAGAAATGTGAAAACATATGCCACTCAGATGAGAGAAAATAACGGCCAGATCCTACTTGAGAGAAAGTGAAGCTGCACAACAGCTGGAGAAAGCTACCAAATGCTGAGAGAGATGGGATTGCTGGAGTAAACACCAGTAACAGGAAAACCTACCCACTGGGAGATGCCCGTGCCAGGGAGAGAATAAAGGATGGCACAGCCCCATGTTTCATGGCCTGATGACAAACAATCCTCATGTCACTTTCCTAACGAGTCAGGGAGGTCCCCTGGAGGTCCTGGTGTGCTTTGAGACTAAGTTAGGCATTTGGTATTATGTGTATGTGGTGTGTGTGTATGTGTGTGTGTGTGTGTGTGTAATGCCATACTCTCTCTCTCTCTCTCTCTCTCTCTCTATATATATATATATATATATGTATGTATATATATGTGTGTGTGTCTGTGTGTGTGTATGTATAATTTCATTCAGGTGTCTCAATAATTCTTTGAGTCAAACTATATTCTATAGGTTGGAAAATAACTACACTGACAGGTTAAGTAACTGCTCTGAGGTCACACAGACAGCTAAGTGGTAGAGCTAAGATTAAATTCAAAGTGCTCTTTCCTCTCCCTGATGGACAGGGTCTTCAAGGACAATTTTATAGTACCTGACGTGGTTTATTTTATATTGACCTCAATAAAAACAACAACAACAAGGACTTCAAAATCCATTCTTCATTTATTTATTACACAATGACTTATTGAATGCCTATTATTTTCCAGGCATTTCTAGAGAGGGCTAAATTAATATAGCCCAAGCACTCACATCATTTATGCATCTCAAAATCTATCTAGCTAATGTGGTGCATTTTGTAAAGCCCATTATACATATTGTACATGCATGGGGGCACACACACACACACACACACACACACACACACACACACCCTGTTTCTGATAGTTGAACTTAAGCATTTCTCATGACTGAACTCAGTCATTATTCTCATGGCATTGTGAATGGACTCAGGTGGGCCCTCGGTGACCCCAGGACTCAATTTTCTTGCCCCAGGCTTTTCCCTAGACTCCAGTCAAGAGTTATTATAATCTATGACTCCATTTCTCCCTTTTTTTTTCCTCTTTTTCTAGGATTCATCTTCAGTGTTTGTCTAAGGAAAAGTGGCCTAAGCCTAAGGGATTCAATGGAGGGGAAGAGGAGGAAGGGACAGAGAAAGGCGATGGATGCCATGCCTGGAAATGAAGGAAACATTTAAAAATTAACATTCATTTGAACATATGCATACCAGTGGTTGAAAATAATACTCTCATTCATTCATTTGGTAAATATATAGTGAACAGCAGGCAGTGAATGAGGAGCGGGGCTTGCATTGTGAATGGAATGATTGTGTTGTCTGCCGAATGGTGTTTGCCTTCTAGAGGAGGGACGAGGGCAAAGCAAAGCGTAAACATAAAGTGTGATAGGAGTGAAAAGAAAAGAAAACAAAGAGAGGATGGAAAAATCCATAGCATAGTAACAGAGGTAAGCAGAGTGGAACAGCCATACAACATATAGCAATTGAGAGGGAAAGAGCCCCTCAGCAAGGAAAAACACAAAGGTGAAACATTTGGGGCAGCATGGGGAGGCGAGCACTGAGGTGGTAAGCACAGCCTTGTCCCATGAGTCTTGTCTTTGTTATTGTTGGCTTTACGGACGCTGTAACGATACGCGACACACAGTTACTGAAAGGGAAGCTAAGTATTTAATTTAGAAAATTACTCACACGATACCAAACCCCGAGAAGCCCAGCAGATCTCAGCTAGCGACTGGACCGGAAGCCGAACTCCAGGAAAAGAGAGCGAGACTTCCTGTGCGCTGTCTTTTATGCCTTCCCCAGTAACGCCCCTAGCCATGCCCAAAAGTGGGCTTGGCTAGTGACGTAGTTCTGCCTACATACGTATACGTCTTTATGTCCAGCCGTATACGTCTTTAGTCCTGCCTAAAGTGGGTGTGGTTAGCGGTGTGGTAAACCGCCCTTTTATTACCTCATCTGTATGCGCCTCTAGTAAGTCACATGTTTCATGGCGGCATAGACTTCCTCCTACAATTCCCCTTTTAGTCTAAAAAAGGACAACTAACTTGTGTCCATGAACAAAATGTATCAAACATCTATTCTATCTAAACCTAAACTTATCTTAAAGAAACACCCAAATATGAACACCTCCTTCCAATCCCAACTCTAAAATAATGGAAAACTAACACTAACAGGTGTAAACTTAT